CCTCACGGCTATCGAGATAAGGCTATGTTCGTGTACATTGGTTTAGCTAACCTCTGTGTTAGCAAGCAAGAGAAAGCGAACTTCGTGTACATTGGTTTAGCAAACCGCATGTTAGCTAGCAAACAGTCCATCGTAGATTATAAGCCGGACTTCATACGTGTAGCAGTTCGACTTGTAATGGGTTGTACGAAATGTATTTATGAGCATCAAATAAATTGTGACAATGAATAAGCGGATTTGTTTTGTCGATTCGTTCCACACCTGTCCTGGCACAGGTGTGTTAGTTAAGCGTTAATGAACGTGTCCCGCATATGAAGCAGTGATTATAAACCAGGAGCTAACCTTCGTGAATCACAGTAATTAGTGATCGAGAATGGCAGCTGTGCAGACGTAAACCTGCGATCAGGTGAGCGACACGACGGATGATGTAGTAAGAGCAGGAAACCACGACAGCGCAATTGTAGTCTCAGGGTAAATGCGGTTCCATAAAAGACCAACGATAATAATAGACACAGACAAGATACTGAGAGTTTACTCGTAAGCTTATAAGAAATAATTGCTTTGTGACAGACACACGTGATAACAATAGTTTATTGTTTAAGCCGGTGCCAGAAATCGGGTAGTACGTGTACGTGGTTGCGAGGACCATGGAAGGATGGCAGTCACAGAGACGGTGGAAGACAAGGAAATGATAACCCCATACCTACGTGCTAGACATCAATGCCGCATTGTTGTACAAATATATTACAATTACAATGTTGACCAACTGCATGCGGAAAACTGTTGATGTTGAATCATGCTATATATTATATATTATATATACTATTTATATATGTGTGTGCATCTGTGCGTGCGTGCGTGCGTGCGTGCGTGCGCGTGTGCGTGCGTGTGTGTGTGTGTGTGTATAAACGTCTTGTGTACTTAATGCGTTCTTAGCAATGTCACGATGGAACATTTTGAAGCGAGACACTTGTGTCGGTGCACATACCTCACGCCCTGGCTGGCCCGCGTGGCGCTGGCTGGGGTAGTGGTAGCAACATTCCCAGGTGCCACGCCGCCTCGTGTAGCAAGCGGAGCAGGCTGACGATTTATCAATGACAGCGATCCACCTGCAGACATACCACCACGCTGTGCGTAGCTCATCACGACATGTGCTAATAGACTCATCGTTAACTAAAACAAACTTGTTCATTTTAATCAGATGATGTATGCGATACTAGTACGTCATGGGACGTTGTATAGTAATAGCATTATAGTAATGGTAATGGTTATATAGTAATGTGTGCTGGCGGTGTTGCACTTGTGCAGCTCTCGCATGCATGCGACTTCTGCTGAGAATGAAGATTTAAATGCATTTCAATGGACTTGCGACATTATACTCGGACGCATTCTGTGGGAAATTGCCTTAGCTTATTCTATTGCCATTAGTTCTCATAACGCGCTCGCCAAACATCAAAGCAAAATTTCCAGAATTTTAACAATTTTTAAACCATTTTAATCGAAATTGTATCTATATGTCAGGTCATACTTTTCTGACAAAAATACAATGTTTTGAAACAGCAATATCCGTAGAATGGTGACATATGTACTTATTTATTTATTATTTATGTATTTATCAATTTAAAGACGGTAAATAGGTATAAGATATATCAACATAAGCTTCCAAGCTCCCCACCGCCAGACAGTTCGGTGTATAAGCTGTGTGGGTTAATATCCCGGGGCCTGTTGTCAGAAACAACATTACAACAACATTACTCAACAACAAAACAACAAACAACTTACATTAACCATTTCTCGTAAGCCAGACTTCTATATACTGCGTATGAGAAACTCGTAACTTTATAATGTTTCTGTCAACGGTCTACGAAAAAAGTTTAATGTTAAGACGAATTTTAAAACTAATTTTGTTTCTAACACCGGAGCCCCCGTGTATGTATGTGTGGCTCGCGATGTATAAGCTTGCCATGCAGTCAATTCTACGGCGTTTACCGCCGCGGCTTTTTTCTGGCTTCTACGCGATAGCAGCGAGAAATGCTCGGGTTGCCACGATCTCGCACTTTTGTTCGTCAAGTCGGCATGATATGAGAGCAAGTCGGTTTCCTGTTTATCCGTGAATCTAGGTTACCAGACGCCCTGTTTTTATAGACATTGCCGACGAACGAACGTACATACCGCTGTCTGTCTGTCCGTCTGTCTATCTGTCTGTCTCTGTGTTTGTGTGGCTATCTGTCTATCTGTCTGTCTGACTGTATGTCTGTCTCTCTGTTTGTGTGTCTATCTGTCTGTCTGTTTGTCTGTATGTCTGTCCGTCCATCCATCCGTCTGTCGGTCGATCCGTCCCTCCGCCCATCCATCCGTCTGTCGGTCGGTCCGTCGGTCGGTCGGTCGGTCGGTCGGTCGGTCGGTCCGTCGGTCGGTCGGTCGGTAGGTCGGTCCGTCCATCCCTCGGTCCGTCCATGCGTTCGTCTGTGGGTCGGTGGGTCGGTCGGTCTGTCCGTCCGTCATTCTGTATATAAAATAATCTTACGGCCATGGTCCCGCGTTAAACAGCAAGTCTGACCCTGTCTAATATTGGTTAACACGCGCACGCGGCTTCGCTCGGTCTACCGTTAGACTCGGGGGGAAGCAGACGCGGTTTTGCAAAGAGTTCTCTGGAATTCAGCCTTGCGTTGCTAGACACCTCGTGGTATCAGGTTATATGAAAACAAAAGCGTAAACATTTAAAACGATAACAACCCCACCAATACAAATATGGGCGTTTAGATGTCCGTTGTTTTACTTAACATTTTGCACGATGTATTTTAGTGAAGGGATGGATGGTGGGCTATTTTAGGTACGTGAGATCCGACCATTTTAATCATCTGGGAATCGGGAAAACCCTGATGAATCTTTCGTGATTCGGGAATTCGGATTCGGATTAGAAGTCAACTGGGACGCGGGAAAGCCGAAATTGCAATTTTACTTAACTGGAAACTGGGAATGGAACTCTGTCACCAGCTATATTATTGATAAAATGCGACACTGGAATAATGCAGTCATCATTCGCCAACTCCCCAGGGGTTATACACTTGAACGAAACTTGTGGTGGCGCTCAAACTTTTAACTCCACTTCGATCCTCCGCAGTCCGTACGGTACTCGGTCGGTAGTAGAGAGAGATGATACCCCGTCAGTAGTAGAGAGAGATGAGGGTGACCTGTAAATAATTACCGCATGCATCCACCTCCTACTGTCTACTGCCACTAATTTGCCAAACCAAATTTACTGCTGCTGTTATTGCATAGAAAGTATAATCCAGCAAAATTTACATTAAATAAAAGTATAAGTATCTTCGACATATTCGTATTATATTATAATTCGACAAATCCAGTCTTTTTCTAGGTCAAAGGCGTCGTCGATTGGTAGTTAAGAATAGCTCCATAGCGCCACCTATTGGCCCATATTTTATTGTTCGTCCGCAGGACTATAATCAAATAAACAAATAATCGCCGAAGAATATGTATTATCAAGAGTTTTAATAATGACAAATTGTCATTAATTTGTCAATGTAATGACAATTTGTCATTATTAACTCCCGGTATTATGTACATAGACAAAGCGATCCTGTAGTTAAGACGAGGCTAGAACTCTGGAATCGTATCACGGCACTATAATAGTAACACTAACGTCAACGATTATTTTTAACAACGGCGCAAGACAAAAGTTCGAAATAATGAACATGAATTTTACGATCAATTGTCGTTCTGACAAAAAAATGGCCGCCAGCCTACAAGTATGCGCTTTGTCAGAGCTTGCACAGAATACAAGCTTCTAAAACGCACCCGAATCAAAATCGATATACACAAAATATAAATTATGCAGAAATGACTGGTGGGTATGCTCTAAGTAAACAAGTTTATAGGGTAGTATCGACAAACGTCATTATTCTTAATAACCACCAGAGGCGTGCATCGCCATGTAATACAGCACTGTGTATTTTTTAAGCCAAAAATGCCTCAATTACAAAATTCAACCATTGGCAACCAAGAACAAAACACGCAAATTCTATACAAAAAATCGACCGACTAGCAGAATAATGAAGAGTGGAATGATCATATCTGTCAATTCATATTCATAAGGTTATTACAGTACGATGTAGATTGGCATACATTCAATAATTTACATTGTTCACGGTATTATTACCAGAATTATAGTTTTAACTATATTAATATTTTTACATTTATAGATAATATATATATATATATATATACCCGTGTAGCTCTTCGCTCCACCATTGGAGATAAGGTGCGAGTGAAAAGTGGAGAGAAAAGTGGTAATGTGGACATGAAGGTCATTACTGTGGCATATAGCAAGTGGGAGCATGGGCTAGACCACACAAAGTAGTAGAGTGGGAAAGGAAGGGAGTAGTAGTGTAGAGGAGGAACGGAGGTAGAATAGCCGTAGGAGAGGGTGGCAGTAGTAGTGTAGGGGAAGGAGGGTGTAGCGTAGGGGAGGGAGGAAGGGAGGGAAGGAGAGAGAGAGGAAGGAATTCCAGTTTACGGATTCAGCAGAAACCGTTCGAGTAGAATACGCGCGTATTATCGGTATCATAGTAAGGGTGAATTCTTTTGCAAAGAAATAAGAATGTAATCCGCCCTATTATTAATTCAAAAGATACAGGGAAAAAGCGTGGGTTCGAGTCTACTCGATTGTAATGACTAAAATAGACGGCTTACCCTTCCTGTAAGCTGATGCGTCACTCACCGTGGCTGTACTGCATCTTAGCCCTGGCTTAACGATGAGACACTGATATCACTTGTGAATCAGCTTACAGAAATCTTCGCCCGTTGTTCCGTGTTTCCTCGACCATTCCTTTCACCCCTAACTAGGGGTTCATTGCAACTATACCCCATCATGTTTTCACCGGCATATCCTTCTTTGAGAATGAAAAATAAGCTCAAATCGAGAACGAGTCCGAGATGTCTTTCCTCTTCGTTAATTTTTCTCGTGTTTTTCCCCGCAGGAGAAGTACATGGTTCCTCCCCCAGCCGGCACGCAGTACGTCTTCTCCCCCGGAGCGATCAAGACGGAGCAGGAGAGACCGACGCCGGCCACGCCTCCGCCGCCGCCGCAGCAGCAGCAGAACCCTCCGTCTCCCATCGCCTCACAGATGTCGCGGCAAAACCTCGAGACGATCGTGCAGGCGATACGCCACCTGGAGGGAGAAATCTTCAACGACGACCTCAGCGTGGACAAGGAGAACAGCATCGCGCGGAAGGAAGCTCGCAAGTCGCTCGTCTCCGAGAAGCATCCTGTCCTTAAGGACGAGCTGCATCGCCCGATCGCCGCAACGCAGTTCAACCGGCCGGGTGTCATTGTCCAGTCTTAGGACCACCTCATTGTTGTACAGCTCCCATCGTCATCATCGTCGTCGTCGCCGCCGGCCGCGGCGGCGTCATTGTCGTCGTCGCCATTGTTGTTGGCGTGGGCGGCAAAAGTTATCTATCATTCGATTGTGTTTATGCTTTGTAGTGTTGCGCTTTGTAAAACATGCCGGTTACGGGAGTTCTCCCGAGGGCGGTGGGATGCTCGGGGGGGGGAGTGGGAGGAGGATGCGAGAGGGAAGCAGGGGAGGGAAGAATTAGCCGACGACGTTGCCGCCCACAGGTTGCACGCCGGGGATACTAATTACTCTCAGGTGACTTACTCTCTGATTTTGTTGCAACGAGTTAAGTCGGTGTAATCGCTCGCTCACCTCCTCCCTACCCCTCCCCCTCCTTCCCCAGCTGATGGAGTTATTCCCACTTCTCTTAATCTGTACAGCTTTGATTGTATTGCTTAGTTATACTCAGTTTTATACGTGGTTTTCAGTACAAATGATGGCGTGTACATAGAGCGTGAATGTACGTGTAAGCGAATGGCTGCCTGCAGACAATTGATTCCTCTTATTTCGTTGCTGGCTACGCGCATGCGCGCGTGCACACAGGTTGAGCGTAACCTACACGCGTCGTACGCAGCAGCTGCTTGTGGGACGTTTTTTACGTGTTGCGTGTAATTACAAGATTTCCGTTGTGTTTTTGATTCGAGGCCCAGTTGTTATATATATATATATATTTGTGTGTTTGTGTGTGTGTGTGTGTGTGTGTATGAGCACAGTAAACCACCTTCTTTTGGCTGTTAGGATGTTATTGCACTGCGAACATCAGCAATAAGTGCAACAAGCAGTCATCGGAAGAAATGGCAGACGAGAGTGTCCGTCTCTCTCTCGTGCGCGCGGTATGGCGTTCACCGCTGTCTCAGCTTCTTGCAGTTTGTAGATACAATGTTGTAGTTATGTTTGACAATTCGCAGGTTAGAAGTCGTCGGACACATACGTGCGTAGGGGGGCGGGCGGGCATGGGCGATCACGTGATCGTGTGAAAAGAAACGACGAAACACCCTTTTGATGTTTCCCGCAACATCGTGTAGAGAAAACCCGCAACAGTAGCAGCAGCAGTAGCAGCAGCAGTAGCAGTAGCAGTAGCAGTAGCAGTAGCAGCAGCAGTAGCAGTAGCAGCAGCAGCAGCAGCAGCAGTAGTAGTAGTAGTAGTAGTAGCAGTAGCAGTAGCAGCAGCAGCAGCAGTAGTAGTAGTAGCAGTAGCAGCAGTAGGAGTAGTAGTAGCAGCAGCAGCAGCAGCAGCATTAGCATTAGTAGCGTGAGCGTGGTATTGCGTAGCTACAGGGATGGTCTACTGTTGCTATAGGTGCTGCCATCCGGTGATAACGCATGTCGCATTACGTCACTCGTACCTGCGAGGGGCAAGTAGAGGAAGGTGACCTTCTCGCTAAACAGGGAGAGACACCTTAGTGGAGACTGCAGACTTCCCCCCCTACTGCTGTGTGGATCACTAGCTGAGCACAATGTTTCTCTTATCATTAGGATCAGACACAGAGCGCGCGCACGTATGTAGGTAGCAATGGGCGCCTACCGTCAATGTCACGAGAAGATTTACTCGGTGGCAACGGCAGTTGTTTTCGTTCTTATGCTCTGCTCCTCGCTCTCTTTCCTCCCTGCCCCTCTCTCCTCGTCTCCCTCTCCCCTACTACTCTCTCTCCTCCTTCGCTTTACGCCTCTGCCCTAACGCTTTCGCTCTCTCACTCTCCCGTCCTCTTTCATCTCCTCCTTCTTTGCGCTCCATCCCCCCTCTCCCTCCCCGCTCTGCCCCTCTCCCCTCTCCCGCTCTCCCTCTCCCCCTCCCCTCTCCCCTCTCGCCCTCTCGGCCTCTCCTCCTCTTCCCTTATACCCCTCTCGCTACGCTTTCGCTCTTTCCTTTTCCCTCTGCTCCACTTTCCCCTCATCTTTCATCTCCAGGCCCTTCTTCCTTCCCTTGCTCCCCATCTCGCGCTTCCTCCTCCCACCTCTCCCTTCTCTCTCCGCGCTTCTGCCTTCTCCCTTCCTACCCCCACCTCCTGCCTCCACTCTTCCCTTGTCGCCGCTGGTACCTTCAGAAGCATCAGTTGGCTTATTATCTATTCCCGGTGTTTATTACCACGGGCAGGTGAGGGATGGTGGGAGGGGCAGACCCCTGGACATGAGAGCGTGAACAGATGAGGGGCGTGGGGCAGCAGCAGCAGCGCAGCAGGGGCAGTAGTAGTTAGGGCAGCAGTAGCAGCAGCAGCTGCAGTAGTAGGCAGCAGTAGCAGTGAGTAGCAGCAGCATGCAGGCAGCTGCAAGGTAGTAGGCAGTAGCAGCAGCAGGCAGCAGGAAGCAGCAGCAGGGCAGCAGCCAGGCATCGCAGCAATAGCAGGTCAGGCAGGCAAGTAGCAGCAGCAGGGCAGCTGCAGCAGTAGCAGGCAGGCAGCAGCGCAGCTGCAGTAGCAGAATGCCAAGGGCTGCTGTATGTAGGCAGGCAGCAGGCAGTAGCAAGCCGTGGGCACTACGTGTGAGCTAGGTGAGGGCAGCTGACTGATGATGCACGTCATTGCATCTAGCTCTAACGCGG